AGGAAGAGGAGGAGAAAGAGGAGGAGGAGGAGGAGGAGGCAGAGGAGGAAGAAGAGGAGGAGATGAAGAGGAGGAGGAAGAGGAGGAAGAAGAAGAGAGAGACGGAGAAGGAGAAGGAGAACGAGAGGGAGAAGGAGAAGGGGAAGGAGGAGGAGGAGGAGGAGGAGGGGGACGAGGAGGAGACCAGGAGACGGAGACAAAGGGGACGAGGAGGAGACCAGGAGACGGAGACGAGGGGGACGAGGAGGAGGAGAAGAAGAATGAAGAAGAAGAAGAAGAAATCAGGGGTTGAGCAATGGTCAATCCTTCCAATTGAATAATCAATACCGCTGTCTCACGTCCTCTCAACCATAACAGAGAGAATAAGCCTCAGAAAATGATCATCCAATGTTCAAAACAGGTACTCTTTGTCTGAGCCTCGCGTGGTGCTCGAGCCACACCTGGCCAAGGGACCATTTGAATTTGAAGCCCGGCTGAGGTCTGGCTTGTTATTCGAGCCTTAGCAACTGGAAATTTTGTTGGCCACGCAGCAGGGGTGGCGGTTTAAAGATTTTGATCTTTTGGATGGATTGGAGGACATTTGGGGAAGTGTGTGCGAACCTCTTTGTGAAAGAAATGCAGACATGGAAGCCGGCGTAGTACATCTCCTTCCTTTGGCACATCCAAGCATATTGGACATGAGTCGGTACATAAGTCTGTCCCCTGGAAAAACATAAAACATCATAGAAGCATATCCACAGTCAACCTATGATCAGCACCATGATTCAACCACTAGCAGTATATAAATCTGTTTCAGTTTTCCTTTCTTTCAAATGAGGTTCAGTGTCTGATGCATGGCCCACATTTCCTTCCTTTGGTACATCCCAGCATATTCATGAGTCGCTACATAAGTCTGTCGCCTGGCAAATGGCTGCTGCATCTCCCTGCTTCGCTGCACCCAGAAGCTTCTTGCCTGTCAGCGCCCGTCTTCCCTCTGCCTGGCACTCATCCTCACAAGCTAGCACTTCGGCAGCACTGCTGCGTCCACAGCCTGAATGTGTCCAGTGAGCTACGCTCACTTCCTTTTGTTCTGCCTTGCTCATGGCCAGGCTGGAATGTCTGTGCCCCTGTCCCAGGCAACACTGCTGCGTCCAGCCTGAAGGTGTCCAGTGACCAACGCTCACTTCCTTTTGTTTTGCCTTGCTCATGGCCAGGCTGGAATGTCCGTGACCCTGTCCAGAATCGCAGGACTCAACTGTAAGGCCCTGGCGAAAGATCCTCCAAAACCTCCTTGGGTCGGATATTCTGAGAAACCTTCGCGTTCTTACACTTAAACTGTTGATGGTTGTACTTGCCACAGTTAATGCAAGCACCCCGCGTGTATCGGTCTCTCCACACATCTTGATCAAGGCCAGCTCTCACCCAAGCCGGAACATTGGGCGATTTCTGAGCCTTCCCCTGACTCTTTTGCTGACCGCCCTTGCACGGACCAGCAGCCTTACCTTTGGTTGCTGCGGCGAGGTTTCCACCCTCTTCGTTCTCCTCACCGCCTAACACGGTATTTTCCGCAAGCTTGGAAATATCATCAATCTTCGTTTGATTCCCATCGAAATCAACCATCCTCAATCGACCACCTTTCTTTTTCCGTTCTTGTGGAACCTTTTTCTTCCTACCGTTCGTTGCAACCTGGTGCGTTCCTCCTAGCTTCACCTCTAGGGCTTTGTTGCTAAAAGAAGCGAGGTCGTGGCCTCGCTGACCAACATGTTCTTGATGTTCGTAGGAAGACATCTCAAGGACATAGTCATCAAGACCTACATAGTCATCAAGACTTGTGGATTGTAGCGCACTCCCGTGACAACGAGGAACCGCTCTACGACATTAGTGAGAACGAGCGCAGACTTGTACTTCTTCATATCGAGTCTGGCCAACGCATCAGTGGCCTGCTGAGCGTGCTGTGGGTTGTGCCACTGCACCTCTGCTAAATCCATACTCTAACGTCTGGGTACTAGCCCAGACATTCATTCTTCTACCGTAGCCTCTGGTTGAGGGAGACTGGCTATGGCGGAGGCCAGGTTGACTCACCTGACGACTTACCTGTGACGCCATCACTCCAGCTTCATCTTCACTTGGTCCATACATGCATCAAGGCGGCACCTTTTCACGGGTTAGTGCCTGGTACACACACACACACACACACACACACACACACACACACACACACACAGAGTTCTTCTTCTTCTTCCTCCTCCAGTCCATCGCTCTTCTCCTCCCCCTCCATCGCTCTCGCCCACCTTTCTCCTTTGTCAGACTCTGTGTGTGTGTGTGTGTGTGTGTGTGTGTGTGTGTGTGTGTGTGTGTGTGTGTGTGTGTGTGNGAGAGAGAGAGAGAGAGAGAGAGAGAGAGAGAGAGAGAGAGAGAGAGAGAGAGAGAGAGATTTGTGACATTGTGATTCAGACTTGCCATTTGAGCAGAGCAATTGTGGGGGACTATCGTCGGGATCGATGTCGACGACACTCTGGGTTGACGACATCTCCCCTCTCCTTCCCCTTCTTCGTCTCTCCTCCCTCGTCATCCGTGTATGCATCAGACCTGGCGCCCTCGTCTCTGTGTACTGGCGCCAGGCCCCTCACACCATGCGATGGTGATGATAATGTTCAGTTTGTGTCACGACATTGATTGGGTCTGATTGTTGGTATTTCAATCTCCCGCTGTGCTATCATTGCTCCATCTTTGAGAGATCGGTTCTTGGTTCGGGTCTACGCCACTCTGGCATGCAACACACAGCCTGCCCGTTTTTGAATTTTTTAACCAACCTTGTTGTCCGTACTTGCACCGCATCACGTGCAGGCGCATGCGAGCGTGTTGCTGCAGGGTGCGGTGCCCGACCCTCCACTGTGTACCAGGCACACCTAGAGTGCGCCCTATTTCTGAACCAGTCCCAGTTGGCGCTTACCTTAGCAAAAGGATGGGGGGTCGGCGCCCTGTTGTACAACAGAGCACAAATTGGCCATGCTCGTGGTAGCCGTCGGGCTCAGCCAGGGACGCAAAGGTAGTAGGATTGGCTCAGTCTTTTCTACTACGCGTCGAGTCCCTAAGTGCTGAGTTATGGGAGCACAAACAGAAGGGAAGAAAAAAAAAAGAAGGTGAGAAAAGAAAGAGGGGCGCCGCGTTTTAGAGTTGCGCCCCAATCTGGACCTTTGTTTTTATTCTCGTTTAATCCGATGGCCCCAAGCAATCATGGCGTTACGATTTCATGAGTGTAAACTCTTCCTTTTATTTTGTTTTTTCAAACTTAATCCGCTTCTCGCCACTTCATGCGGGAACGAACGGTTCACTTATTATGTGAAATCTTGCGGGTGGGCTAGACTGGCCCGACCCTTTACAACTCAAATTTGCTTGGTGAGAGCGACCAGCCAGGCGTTGCAGCTAGTACCGTAGTACCCTAAAAAAATACGGTACCCTCGGCCGCATCGGTAGGAGGCTTATCACCCCCCATGGAGGGTCATTAACCCCCTCGGATATGGGCCCCTATTAGTGATAGGCCTACCTTCTTCCCCTGAATATAATGTATGGTTATTATGGCTGTATTTGAGGCACCTGTAATGAACCCAATCTGGCAGATACTCGTCAGTCGTCAAACACCGGTAGTCTCGGTATCTGCAACATAGTCTCCAATTATCGTCAAAACATATCTGAAACAATATTTCATTACCATTAGACGAAGAAAGTGGAGGGGGATCAGACAGAGGAGAAGGTGGAAGAGATGATAAAATATCACACAAGAGTCGTCTCGTCAACCCCACTCCTTCTCCGGGCTTTTTCCCTCTCCACGTCAACAACCAGTATATGATAACAAGTATAATAATCCTGATCACACAATAGTTGCACGTGGCACTCTCTCGTGAAGACCATGAAGACACATCAGATTACAGTGACGGCGTCAACCTCAGGTGAGTACCCGATCCCAATCATCCACAGACCCCGACCTCCCTCCTCCTTGCAACCAGTCACCTCATGTAGACAGCACGGACAATGCCACGTCAACAGTCGCGACAGGTGGCGAGAGCCACATCATCAATGAAGACCAGTGGCAGCGCCACATCAACATGCAATGTAGACCACAAGCAGCACTACATCAGCATGCAATGTAGACCAAAGACAGCGCCACATCAGCATGTAATGTAGACCAGAGGCAGCGCCACATCAGCATGCAATGTAGACTAGAGGCAGCGCCACATCAGCATGCAATGTAGACCAGAGGCAGTGCCACATCAGCATGCAATGTAGACCAGAGGCAGCGCCACATCAACATGCAATATAGACCAGAGGCAGCACCACCTCAGAATGCCTGGCGCACAATGCAGAAAGCGCCAGCATGCTGTCGTCGTCACCCACAGTGTCGGCGTCCAGCCAGCGTCTCGCCAGCATCTGATCGAAGTCAAGCGTCCAAGCATCATAACAAGACAGAATGCTTAACCAACTCGAGGCCAGCCTTAAGTAGCATTTGTCGAGGCTCTCTGGCCTCGGTTGCCTTTCCCACAATCGTCCAGATTGTCAGGCCCTGAATCTTTTACTGGTGTCATTTCCCTTGTTTTGGCCTGGATCTGGGTGTGGCTTGGCGAGGCCCTCAATTTCCACGAGGCATACCACATGAGTTATTGCATTCCTGCCGGCCCAATTTTCGAGTTCCATCGTAAAAATACATCAATTCTCACTCAACCCACGTTATTATGCAGCAACAATGTCAGGAGCAGTAGGGTAGGAGTTCTTTCCTACTAAACCATCTTCAGATGGGGGTTGGGATTTGAACTTTACCTTGTACTGCTTCTGAGGTTGTCCTCTGTCATTTGTAGAAAAATAGCCATCTTCCAATACCCTTTCAACTCCATATCCTCCATTCATGGAGGGGGGAAACATAGATGGCCTATTTGGAAAGTTGTCACTTTCTACATAGGGTAGCAGTTTAGACTCATGGAAGACGTGGAAGTACGTCTATGCGGTAGGAAGGTCCATCTTCACCTCCAATTCCTTTGAGAACTTAGAATTTTGAAGGTCCATTTCTTTCAAGGAAAACTCTTTAGACTTGACCCAGACTAAGTCCCCTTCTTGGAATTGTGAAGGTCGACGATGTTTATTAGCTTGTTCAATCATTTGACGTCTTCTTCATACAAAACTGCAAATTCACGCGTGAATAGCCTCTGAATTTAGTCCCTTGTTAATACATCAATGAGACGCCTATGCTTCCATCCTTTATGCAGTGTGTTAGGCGTTCTTCCTGTAACAGTATGTATATTGTTATTATAGGCACTAGCAATTTTAGGCAACTTCTCATCCCAATCAATCTGATCAGGTCGAACATACATTCGCAAAAGTTGTTGGTATAGACGATTCATTTGCTCAGTTTGGCCATTCGTTTCAGGATGTCTGCCTGACGACATGGTCAACTTGGTCCTACGGACTTCCATCAACTTCCGCCATTACAGAGTAGTGAACCGAACATCCCTATTAGAGACTACCGTTTTCGGGAATCCATACTCGGAGACCCATAGCATCTGAAACTTTTGGATTACTAGTTCTGTTCTAGCTTCAACAAGCAAAGAAATTACCATAGCATACTTTGAGAATCTATCCACGATGACCATTACCTGAATGTTGCCATTTCTACTCTTAGTAAGGCTCATAAAGTCTATGGAAATTGACTCACATGGCTCACTTCAAATAGGCAGCGGTCTTAGTAGTCCCATCGGATTCCCATGTGAGGGCTTGTCCCTCTGATAGACAAGACAAGTCCGCACATAGGTTAGTACATCTTCCTTCATTCCTTTCCATTCAAAACATTCACGCACATCGGCATACGTCTTCTTAAAACCAAAGTGACCTTCCGCATCATGACATTCCCCAATGATTAAGCTCTTGATTGGTTCTTGGTGAGTAATACACAATCTTTCTTCGGTTTTATCCAGAAGTAGAGCAAGTCATCAGTCATTCGATATTCTGAAAATAACTTGGGGTTCTTTTGTAGAGTCTCAATGATAGGACTCCAAATAGGATCACTCCCATAACCCTTGCGGATTTGTTCTTTTAGTTCGTTTCCGATATCGAGATAGGAGACAATGGTTCCAAAGAAATCTGCACGCCTGGACAAAGCGTCTGCAACCACGTTAGACTTACCTTTGATGGTTTTCACCTCAAAGAAACGTATCAAGGACAATTCCCTTTCATAGGTGGAGTTGCCCACTTTCTCTAACAGAAGTCTTTTGGACATAAACTTAATAGGTCTATATCCCTTACCGTCGTCTTGCTGTAGCACAACCCCAATTCCATACTGACTTGCATCAGTCATGATGCTGAACGGAAAGAAGGGTCAACAATCCTTAGGACATGCTTTAACTTTCTAAACGACGACTCACAATCTTCGTCCCACAACCAAGGTTTTTCTTTTTGCAGTAATCTTCTCATAGGAGCAACTATCAAGGAGAAGTTTCTGACGAACTTCCTATAGTAGCTAGCAAGTCCTAAGAAAGATCTTAGTTCAATTATAGTCATAGGTTGTGGCCAATCTCTGATTGCTGTAATCTTCTTTTCTTCAGGCCTTAGTCCTTCCTCGTTCACTATATGCCCTAAGTACAAGACTTCGGGCTTAGCAGACTCAGACTTCTTCGGATTCAATTTGAAGTTGCCCTCGCGCAACTTCTACAAGACCATTCGTAGGTGTTTATCACAATCTTCTAGTGTCTTACCATACACTAGAATGCCATCGAGATAGACTACGGAACAATTCGTTCATTGACCTTTGCAAAGTTGTAGGCACATTAATCAAACCGAAAGGCATAACCACGAACTTGTAGTGACCATACCTGGTTCGGAATGTTGTCTTCTGTTAATCCTCAGGAGCCACCTCGATCTAGTAGTACCCTGACTTGAGATCAATCTTGCTGAAGTACCTGCATCCCTGCAACTAATCCAATAGATCGTCAATGCGAGGAAGAGGCTCCACGTTTTTGACAGTGACGAAGTTCAACCCACGATACTTTATACATAGCGGGCGCACCATAATGAGATGAGCTAGGGTGAATCTATCCTTTGTCAGTAAGTTCTTGCAGCCATTTACGCAATTCCTCAAGTTCCCTAGGAGACATTCGATAGATGGGACCCTTGGGAATCTTGCTTCCAGGAATGATCTCGATCGTGTGCTTAATAGCACGCTCAATGATTCCCGTTGGCCCAATCTACAAGCCCTTGCACTCATCGAGAAGTTTTTCAATAGAAGGTGGCTAGGATGAGGAACACTCACCGACTCTCTTGACAAGCACCATCATCACCTTTCGATCCAACTTCTTCTTTACTATCATCGAACGAAAGGTTGGGTAACTCGTACAACAAAAAGACAAAGCGGAGTCAGAGCCGAACCTATGATACAATTTAATCACACATAGTTCGAACTTCTCGTCCTTCAGTTTGACAATTTTATCTTTGAACCTTACCTCTGGGTCGGCTTCCTCGTGCCAATCCATTCCCAAAATCATATCAAACGGTAGT